AGTCAGGACTCTCTTTGTACCGCCTTCCATCACAATATGTGGATTTGTTGTCATCCGGTTCATCCGGTTCATCCGGTTCATCCGGTTCACACCTAAACAATTGTGGTTTACTGATCCAAATCCTTGGGGTGTAGGGAGCATGCTTCCATTGCTGAACAGCAGGTCTTTACGCCTACAAGGTTTATTCCCTCTGCTCTTTTATAGACAATAATGTTTAATTACAAATCACAGACTAAACTCATAGTCATAACCAGAACACAGGTTGTAGGCGAACACATGTATTCGGTGAGTTCCCTATCAAGCCAGTCGAATCACATTTAGGTAAGAAAATAACGGGAAAGTGTTGTTTTGGGGTCAAACAGTTGAGATTAAATAACAATGGCAAAGAGAGATAGGGACACATTTGTCACTCGTTATCATGTTCAGATAAGAACGGGTTACGTAAGCGTTGATAATTGATTTGGGTCATCGCAGCGCGTGCGTGATGTTGTCCGCTTTGGGCCAGGGAAGTTTATGTGCCTGAACAAGTGTTTTTGAGCAAACAATTCTGGCTTCAACAAGCGGATGATAATTGCCTCGGCTGTTGCTAGCGTTTTAATTCGAACAGCCTTGGATTTGTGTTGTGGGACGCCATAATGAAACTAGAACAACGGAACTGGAAATAACTCCGATTCCTCCGTGTCTAAGCCAAGTGGGTTGATGTTCCTTGATGCACTTAGATAGCTGCATTGTCGTACGACCTACATAAGTGGTACCACAGGTACACTTGAATTGGTAGACGAGCATTGACGAGGTCAACATAGGCAACTTATCCTTTATCTGACATCGGAACACGTATCTGAGTTTGGCAGCATTGAACGTTGTTTTGACTACGGAACTCAAAACTCTACTAACCCTTTCAGCTGCTGGATCTCATTTGAACGGAAGTTCGATGATCAAAGTCTTTTTCTCAGCTCTTCTCTGCAACAACCTGTTTCACTGTTTGACCCCAAAACAACACTTTCCCGTTATTTTCTCACAGCCTGTGTTCTGATGTTTAACTACAAAAAGCTGTTTCAATTTATTCATTGGAATTCCGACGTGAACTACTGTAAGTAGTAAGAAGTCACATATGGGTTCAATTATCTCAATCAGCGGCACATGTATAGGCAAGGCTTCCTCGTCGAAAGATCATTGCTTTTTGAGAACAACAAGATTTTCTATTTCTACAAATATAAACCTATCCCTCAGACTATATTAGCCTGGGATTTATAGTATTGGTTCTAGAAGTTTCAAGATCCATTAGGTGATAGTATGAAATGGAGAATTTGACATATCATTGATAGATCGTATCGAGATGTTTAGTTATTGCTACCTGGGCAATGTGTAGGTCCGCACTGGTGAGAATCCAGTCGGAAGGAGATCTTCAGAAATCCGCTTGCAATTTATGACCTCTCTTGAGTTCACCCAAAATGGACCTTCTGGTCTGGATGTTGTGCTCTGGTCTTCTCACGTGGTCGATCCTGGAAATTTGATCGATTCGCTGAAAAATGTTATCTAGTTTCGAGTGGTAATCAACTGTAGCGAGTAATACCTAGCCGGTTTCTTGTTCAATCAAGATATCATGCAATCCTTGTTTGAAATAAGACGTCAAAATAGGTTTTGCCTGAATTAGTTTATTCTGATACTGAAGACGTTAGTGCATTAGACAGAAATCGAGTTGACCGACGAGGTGAACATGGCCAAGTTGGTGCATGATAATCCCCATAGGGTGAAATTTCGGTTCAGACGCATGCGATTTTGCATCAGAGGATAAAACTTGAAGTAACAATTTATCGATTTGCACAGATGAGAAGTTGTGTGCACATCTGTTGTTAGTCCTAATTGCATGTGATCGTTTGCCCTGTATCAGGGTAAGCATAATCTTCCCCTGGTAATGGTCGTGGTTTGCATTTGAAATAGATGGGGATCAGGTAGCGCATCGTGAGAACGTGTCGGCATTTTCTCGATGGTCATGTACGCGTAGTCATCGTGCCTATTCTTTATTGGTGTTCTCATGACCCAGATTCCGGACAGCCCCATTTACATTGTAGGCCTTCCTTTTTTCTCTATTTACGTTTGATTGATGAGACCAGTAAACACTGTTTGCAATTGCCTTTTAACTGGGAACGTTGGGATACGAAACATGAGGCCAGGCAAGATAGGGAACTAGGGAAATTCTGTAGAGACTAATGCGAGAGGGTAATAATCGATAAGAAGAACGTGTAGACGTATGAGAGCAGCATTTAGATAAATCACCATGTAAAGGACCGTTGGGATCGGAGAGGATTTTCTGAGCAAATGTTTCACATACAGACAAGTGAAGTTTACACAGTCTTTTAGATAGCTCGTCAACGGGTATAAAAAACACACGACTGATGATCGACAAACCTCGATGAAGAATTATGAAGTATTTCTTTAGTAGATCGAGAAAAACCACCGGGGAACAATAGAGAAGAACGGGGAAAACACATTGATAAACAAAAAGTGAAATGGTTTTTTTGCTTGGCATTGAACTGCCAAGTTTTCGAAGTTGAAAAGATAATCTGCGAAGTTTCTGTTTAGAGTGGTAAATATGGGATGTCCACTTTGAGTTAGTGTCAATTGTGTGTCAATTGTGAGTTATTACGGAAACAGAAAAACAACGTGTATGATTTCCTGTGCAGATCACCTAATTGATCCACGTCACGAATAGAGTTACGTGTCAGCATTTATCCGTCCTGGTATTCGGATGGTTATCGATTTTGACCAATCATAACAGTTTTGTCGGATCGCACAATGCAACGCGTATGTGCACGTGCATTGGGAGGGCTGGGTAGGAACGGCTTTTTCCACACATACGCGAGTGCTGACATCACTACCAGATGAACGCTGTGTGGAATGATACGTAGGCGTACGCACGCACGCCCACACTTACAAGTGAGTGTGGACACAACAAAAGACGCACATGCTTCGATCGAACAAATCAAAATAGACAGTTTGATTATAACTAACGAACACACATTTCATATTTGAATATTTGACCTCGAACCAAAATGGAACCTGGAGAGAGTGACAAGGGGCGTGGACAAAAGTGAGCCCGGTGTCTGCGCTTTTGTCTGTAGATCGGCATGTCAAGTACCCGGACACTATTGGTAATTTTGTTATCAGACAAAGTGGCATACTGTGAATGGAATTCGTGCAACCTCTGAATACCTGTGACTGGTTCAAAGTTGTAAACGCATGCAGTATTTTTTTCAGCAGCAGCATGGAAATATTCCAAGATCTTTTTGATCACAATGAGCAAAGCGATTGAGTCCTATGGAGAAGTCAACTACACACGATCAAGCAGATTAAATAGATGA